GATTTGTGGCTTAGGAATTCTGGTTGAAAAAAATGTGAGTTTTCTTCTTGAACAGACTTTGCCAATTACCCCAGTTGACATGGCAAGCCATGCTTCTAGCACTCTGGCAGGTGATGTTGACTCCTGAGTGAGGTTACTCAGTTATTTAAGGGACCTTAGAATTTGCTGGTTTCCACATCCTCATGATAGCTAAGAAAGTTGCAACCCTCTGAGGTCACCCAGTAGGTGTTGTGACAGGGTGGTGTATAGGTATTGCTCAGAAAGCTTAGAAGTGACTCTAAAGAGTAGGCTTAGCCTGGTGGCTCTAGCCCTGTGCTAAGGGCTTTGCTCCATGTCCTGGTCCCTGTGTCCCCACAAACTGCCAGTCAGTGTGCCTTCTGATTTTGAAAATTAGAAAAAAAGCTGGGGAGATGGCAAAAGTACTAGCCATGGAAGCTGGACGACCTGAGTTTGATCCCTGGAGCCCACATAAAAAAGCTTGTAGCAGTGGGCCAACTAGCCTGGAGAAAGTCATGTAGCTGCAAAAACAAGAGAGTCCCTATCTCAAGGTGGAAGTAACTTCCAAGAATTGGCTCTGATTTCTACAGGTGTGTCATGTGCATATGGTATACACTAATTTTTTAAAAATTAGAAAATGCTGGGGGCTACAGAGATAGTTCAGCAGTTAAGAGCACTGACTGCTCTGGCAGAGGACCCAGATTTGGTTCCTAGCACCCACATGGCAGATAACAACCATCCATAACTCAGTTCCAGGGGATCCAACGCCTTCTGACTTCTGTGGGCATTGCATAATGGTGCACTTACATACACGCAGGCAATACACTCATACACATAAAATAAAAATAAATTTTAAAAATTAGATGGGCTAGGCATGGTGGTACACGCCTTTAATCCCAGCACTCTGGAGGCAGAGTCAGGCGGATCTCTGTGAGTTCAAAGCCAGCCTGGTCTACATAGTAAGTTCCAGGACAGCTGGGGCTACAGGGAGACCCTGTCTCAAAAAGACAAAAAAAAAAAAAATTAGAAAATGCAGGACTGGAGAGATGGCTCAGTGGTTAAGAACACTGATTGTTCTTGCAAACCCAGGTTCGGATCCCAGCACCCACATGGCAGCTAACAACTGTCTGTAACTCCAGTTCCAGGGGATCCAACAGCCTCTTCTGTCTTCCGCAGGCATTGCACAACACAGGTGCACTTACCTACATGCAGGCAACACACGCATACACATAAAATACAAATAAATAAAACATTTTTTTTAAAAATTAGAAAATGCTTATTGTAGCCGGGCGTGGTGGCACACCCCTTTAATCCCAATCCTCAGGAGGCAGAGGCAGGCAGATCTCTGTGAGTTCAAGGCCAGCCTAGTCTACATAGCGAGTTCCAGGCCAGCTGGGGCTATAGAGAGACCCTGTCTCAAAAAGATTTTTTTTTTAAAATGCTTATTATATATCTAAAAGGACAGCAGTAGTACTGTGGCCCATGGGTTCTGGATATGACAGTCATGCTTTGGTTTTACAATGTCCACAGAGTGCACAGGGGATCCAGGAGCTTCTGGATGTTGCTAAGCAACACATTCCATTTGACTTCTGGAAGGCTACCCCACTGGTCCTCAAGGCCACAGCTGGTTTGCGCCTGCTGCCAGGAGAAAAGGCTCAGAAGTTACTGCAAAAGGTGAGATTGGTGGAAAGTGGCTACAGGTCACTAAAAACACTAGCCCTGCTGAGCATTATGGTGCACACCTGTAACTTCAGCACCTGGGAGACAGAACAAAAGGATCTTAAAGTGGAGGCCAGCCTGAGCTACATAGTGAGACCCTGTTTTGTCTCAAAACAAAACAGCCACTAACCTTCTAGCGTGTCTATGCTTTTTCAGGGTGTTCCTAGGTGTATGAGCTAAGCCTGAGCCTGATTTGCTTGTTTTCCATAGCAACCTTGTCCTGCTCTTGGTCGGATACTCAGATGTTTCTGCTCAGGAGCCCCAGTAGCCTCCTCCTCAACCCCAGTGCTCCTCAGAACTTAGTGAGCCTAGCCACCTCACACTCTATACTGGGGCTACATCTTTACCTTCATAATGCATTTCTAATATTCCCATCTGCCAAGTTCAGGAAGATGCTCTTAGTAAAACAATCTTCCACAACCTCCATACTGTTCTTGACATTTACCTGTGAGATGATGGCACAGTGTATACCTGCCAGATCCCTCAGAGTAGAATTGTGGGACATAAGGGAGGTAGGGGTGACCAGAGGCACTGAAGTCTCTCTGTCTTGAGACTCCTTAGAAAATCGAGACAGAAAGCCAGGTGTGGTGGCCCACACCTTTAATCCCAGCACTCAGGAGGCAGAGGCAGGCAGATCTCTAAATTCAAGGCCAGCCTGGTCTACATAACGAGTTCTAGGTCAGCTGGGGCTACAGGGAGACCCTGTCTCAAAAAGACCAAAAAAAAAAAAAAAAAAAAAAAAAAGAGAGAAAGAGAGAGAGAGAGAGAAAAAATGGATAAAGAAACCCAATTACTCATGGCCTCTGCCTCCACTTCCCTCTCTGACTCTGCAGGCCCATGGCCCTCAAGCAGTCCCCAACCCCAAACTACATGAGTGGTCCCAGGTTTAAGTCCTGCCTTATAGGGCTTCTTGCCGTTCATCTTCCAACCCAGAGCCAGACAGTGTCTGGGGGCCCAGCAGCCTTAGTGCACTCCAGCTCTCCCTAGGCCATACTTTCCCCAGAACTCTTCAGTTCCCAGCAGTCAAAGACAAGGTGCCCAGAGCAACATATGCCTCAGCTAACATAGGAGATTAGCTGGGGAACCCCCTCCAGAAGCAGAGACGCTTGAAACAATGTATAAGCTTTGCCTCAATACTGTGGAGCACTCTTCTATACAGCTTGCTGAACACACAGTGCCCTTGGAAACTTCTGACCTTGCATTCTTAAAGATGAAGTCATTTTCCAAGCCCTGAGTTGGGGGTGTAGACCAGACTGACCTCAAACTCCAGATCCTTCTCAGTTTCCCAAGTGCTAGGATTATAAGTGTGCATCTTCATGCCAGGCTAAGAAATGTTTCTCTTTGCATATAGGTGAAGGAGGTGTTTAAGGCATCGCCTTTCCTAGTAGGTGACGACTGTGTTTCCATCATGAACGGCACAGATGAAGGTAGAGTGGCCAAAAAAATCATCTCATTATTGCATGTCCCAGTTAGACAGATGGCTCTGAGCTGACGGTGTGTGGACTCCCCCTTGATGGCTCTTTCCCTGGTCAGATGCAGGAGTAGCTAACTGCAGTTATGGTCACAGCCACAGTTTGTTAGAAACAGATTCTTATCTTGACCAACTCCAAACCTGGTACAAAGTCTCTGAAAACATCTTCTGGTTTTTAAAGGACATTTAGAGAATTCCAGTTGCTGCCATGCTGGGGACATTGTAGTTGTGTAGCTCTGTCATAGCTTGATTTCTGTTGCTGTGAATTAACACTGACCAAAACCAACTTAGGGGAGGAAAGTTTTTATTTCAGCTTACGCTTGGCAGTCTATCACCAAGGAAGGTCAGAGCAGGAACCTGGAGGCAGAAACTGAAGCAGAGACCATAGAACACTGCTTACTTGCTCAGTTACGCAGCCCGGGCCCACTGCCTAGGGATGATACCATCGCAGGTGGGATGAGCCTCCTACATCAGTTAGCAATTAAGAAAATGCCTCAGACATGGCCATAGGCCAGTCCGATGGAGGAAATTCTTCAGTGCAGGTTCTCTCTTCCCAGATGTCTCTAGTTTGAAAAACCAGCACATGCTCATTCTAAAACAGATACTTGAGATTCCTCACAGGCTAGTGATTTTTTTTTTTTTTTTTTTTTTTTTTTTTTTTTTTTTTTTTTTTGACGGCCTCCCCTAAAAGAGGACGATAAATCTTTCACTTTGGTCTTTTTGAGACAGGGTCTCCCTGTAGCCCCAGCTGTCCTGGATTCACTATGGAGACCAGGCTGGCCTCGAACTCACAGAGATCCACCTGCCTCTGCCTCCCGAGGCTAGTGATTTTTAAATATGACCTTAGAAATGAGCTTGTCTGGGGGGTAGAGGGAACTTTGGGTTCTTTTTCTACTTCCTCCAAAAAGAGATGCTGGTGATGAAGTCCTGGAAAAGATACAGCATTTCGTGATGTGTTCTATCTAGGTTAAGTGTGGTGCCAGAAGCCCCTAGATTCTTGTGTGAGTAATGCTTCTCTCTGTAGACGGCCTGGAGGCTGAGAATAGCAAGCCATGCTCACCATGCCCCTGAACTCTGAGAAGAGGTAGCCCATGTGACTAATATTAAAGTGTTACCCGTACTACTCTTCTTGTAGGTGTTTCTGCATGGATCACGGTCAACTTCCTGACAGGTGCGTGTCGACTGAATGGGAAAGGCTAATTGTTCACCATCCCTGGCAAAGAAGAGCCCAGCAGACTGTCTGGAGGCCCCATTACCATAACCCCCAGATTCAGTGTTGCTGGTTCAGTGGCACACTAGACTTCTAGAGTGGCAGCATATCTTCCTGGGCAGGCCATACAGAGTAAGCCCATGCCTGCATGTGTTTGTAGTAGTGACCACCTTAGCTGCTTTTCTCTCAGCATAGCTCCTGCCCAACATCCACCAGGGCTTTGGCCTCTAGTTTCTGAGAGAGGCAGTAAACCTAGTCAGAGCTTCAAATACTGCAGTGATGTGAGTGCTGATCACTTCCTGCCAGAAACATCTGCCCTTGGAAACAGGTGGTGAGGAGAGGCTTTTAGGTTGTTCTCAGTGTGGCCCCATCACTAGAGAAGGGCAGTGGGTCTGGTGTGTGTAGGAAGAAGGGGTTTACCTGGCAGATGTCACCCCTATGAAGACATAGAAACACTAGGGGATAGTTTGAGAATCTCTACGCCAAATGCTTTGCGGGGACAGAGCCAGAGATGGAGCCAGGCAAAGGGGATGTGTTGCAGGAAAGGCCTGGGTCAGAATAGCAGAGAGGTCCATGCCTCCTGGCAGGTGAAGCTGGCCTTCCCAGCAGAGAGGGCAGCGCATGTGTTCTCTAGACAATCGGTGTCATCCTGTCTTCCTTCGCATCCGAGCTACAGCTGGTGGAGTGATGGCTCTTGGATACCTTTAAGTGGAGATTTTTAAGTAGCTGCAGCTGCTTCCCTACCTTGTTTTTCTTTGCACTGAAGGGCCAGCTTTTAACCTTTGATCTTCCTAGTGTTCTCTCCTTCCTGACATGACAGTGTGCTGTGTCTTTACTTGCTGTGATCTAGGCAGTTTGAAAACCCCAGGAAAGAGCAGTGTGGGCATGCTGGATTTGGGCGGAGGATCCACTCAGATCACCTTCCTTCCTCGGGTCGAGGTAACCATCCCTGCCTGTCTCACTAGGGCAGGTGCTGCCAGGAGTTTGTGTGCGGGGGTGGGGGTGGGGGTGGGCAGCCAGCCACTCATAGGCGGCCCCTTGGCCACTGGAAGGCACTCCACCCATTAAAAACCAAAGTAGAAATCCACTCTTTGGTGGGGTGAAATGAGGAGATAACTAGAACACCTGGGCTGAATCCAGACACCCATCCCCTGCAAAGTTAAAACAAGAGTGGGCAGTATGTAGGCTGACTCACAGGTGGAAGAGGGGTCAACCTTCTTCAACCTGAGTGTTCTAAAGGAGACAAAAGCTCTTCCAGGTAATGCCACCTCCTATTTTTTAACACCTTCCTCATTCACACCTTTTCTTAACTATTACGTCTTAAGTGGACTAGAGCACTTAAATATACTGATCTCTGAATCATCTAGTTGAGCCAAATTTGTCAGAAAGGGCAAAATGCAGCTGGTCTGATGATATACATCTGTAATTCCAGCACTGGGGAAGCTGAGACAGGAGGATTGTGAGTTCAAGGCCATCCTGGACAACTTAGCAAGCCCCTGTCTCAGAATAATAAATGCTGTGGATGTAGCTCGGTGGTAGAGTGCCTAAAGCCATGGGTTTGATCACTAATGGAGGTAGGGGGATGAGGGTCCTAAGGGAAAACACTCTAGATTGTTTTTTTTACTGCTTGCTCCTCAGTGTATTATAGCCAAGGACTTAATGAAAAGCTCACTGGCTGACCTGGTTCTCCCAAATGACTCCAGGGAGGATGTATGGTCTTCTGGAAAGACAAACAGTAATCTGATGTTCCTCCCCAGGGTACCTTACATGCCTCGCCACCTGGCCATCTGACAGCGCTGCAGATGTTTAACAGGACCTACAAACTATATTCCTACAGGTTGGTTTTCCTGGGGAACAGGGGCTGGCAGTTCAACTAGGCATACATAGGACGGGCATAATTCCCATTCCTACCCCATGGTGGGACCCATTCCCCATGTAGATGCCAGATCTCAAGAGTTCCTCACACTGAGAGGCTGCCCAGGCCCTCCTTGTCCTCCCTCCCCTACTCATCCTGCATGCCTCCTTTTTTTTGGTCTTTTTGAGACAGGCTTTCCCTACAGCCCCAGCTGGCCTGGATCTTACTGTGTAGACTAGGCTAACCTTGACTGCCTCTGCTTCCAGAGTACTAGTATTAAAGGCATGTGCCTCCACACCCAGCTACATGCCTCACTTTTAAATTTACTGTGAAATCACATTCTTCTTTTGTGTTTATTCTGTTCTGTTCTGCTTTGGGGGAAATTTGCAAAAGGCAAGAGGTGACCACCCTCTTGCCTCATGACACTTGCAGTAGATTCTTCTTGTCGTGTCCACATGAGCTCAGGACAGGTCCTCATTGGTTTAATTAATTAGTGCTCAAGACTTAGCAAGAGGCTTATAGAAGGAGGAGGAAAGCCTCTGTATTTCTTATTCATGTTGGGCCCAGGCAGGTACATGTGTGGTCCAGCCTTACTGGGCTTTGTCTCCACAGCTACCTGGGGCTGGGACTGATGTCAGCACGACTGGCGATCTTGGGTGGCGTGGAGGGTAAACCTGGTGAGTGGAACATTTGCTCAAGATTCTGCCCACACCCTCAATGGAAGTGAGGAGTGCCCCCTACCCCTCTACCACACAGCAGCACACCAGCCAAGCCACCTAGCACAGTGCAGGGCTGCTGCTGGCCCAGGTGGGATAGGCCCAGATCCTGTCACAGCTGCTGTGATGACATGGAGGGGGTGGGGTGTGTTTTACCTCTGCATGTTCTTCTAAGTTATCTTTTCTTTTTTTTTCTTGCTCTTTAAATTCCTTAGTGTTATGACATAATGCATACAACACAATACTTACTGTTTAAATGCCCAGTTCAGCAGCATTAAGTACAAACATGGTGCTGTGCATATATCACCACAATCCATTTCTAGAAGTTTTTCATCTTAAAGTAGAACTGTCCATATTAGATACCAGCTCCTCCCTCTGTCCCATCAACCTGATAACCACCATCCCTATAATGTCTCAAATGAATGTGAGCCTACATACCACATAATACATAGGCATGTGTTGACACATTATTCTTTTATGACTGGCTTATTTTACCTAGCTAATACTAAATTATCTTTTCAAAAAGAGATGTGAGAAATCATTTATGAACCATGTCAACTTGTATGTCAGCCTTCTGCCTGAGATAAATGACTTATAGAGAAGAAAGGTTTGTTTTGGCTCATGGTTTTGGAGGTTTCAGTTCATGGTTGTTTTTGTCTGTGGGCCTGTGGTGAAGCAGAGCATCACAATGGGGGCATGTGGCAGAGGATGCTGCTCAGTTCGTGGCATCAGGTCCCAACATCCCTTCAAGGAAATGCTCCAGTAGCCTAGCATCCTCCCATCAGGCCCCAGCTCCTACAGGGTCTACCAACTCCCAGTAGCTCTAAAGGCTGGTGCCAGGCCTTCAACACCTAGCAAAAGTGGGATGCTTATCCACACCACTACAACTTGTTTTAGCAGTTTAAAGGCGCAGCCTGCCTTTTAGACAGTACAGAAGGAGCTTGAGGAGGTGGTGCTGGGGCTGTTGTCATCAGGAGAAATTCCTGTCTCAAGAGATTCCAGCCTGTGAGAACATCCTGCCATCATTTCTGCTCTGTAAAAGATCCTAACAGGCTTGGCCCTTCCTCACAGGTGTGATGTCTGAGAAGAAACCTGTGTCTGATCAGGTCATAAGAATGCATGCCTCACCCCAGGCCCTCCATACTCCTTCCAAGTGGCCTTGAGACCCTGCCATGCACTCTCAGGAGACTTTAGGGATCATACCAGCCCTTATTGGAGTAGGTCCCTGTCCGGAGACTGACATCACCTGTCTTTCCTGTTGGCCATGCACCCAGAGCCTGTTCATGTTTCCTGACACAGTCTATCCTTTACTTCCTCCACTGCCCAGTCCTCCTGTCCACCCTTCAAGGGCTGGTTGCTCTGCGGCATTAGAGATGTTCAGCTGAGTTTTTTTCTTGTACATATTCTATTCCAGTTTCTATGTATCTTTACAGTGGTATCTCCTGAATTGTCGCTCTGAAGTATTTCCATATCTCAGAAACGCCTGTAGCCCACAATCAGAGTCAGAAACACCTGCTGCCAACAAAGAGAAGACAGTTCTTTTCTCTAGGGGGTTGGCTGTACAGTGCCTGCCTGCCTGGCCTCCTCCATTCTCTTCCTGCTCAACAGGCAAGGGTCTCCCATCTGTAGTATAACATATCAGTCCAGATAGGATGGTAAACAGCAGATTGTGTGGCTGGATGGGGCTCGGTGGTAGAGTACTTCCCTAGCATGTGCGAGGCCCTAGGTTCTATCCCCAACACCACAGAAAGAAAAGCAGCAAGTGGCAATCATTCCATCATTGTGCCTCACAACTCCATAGAGAACCACTGGGTGGTAACTCCCCTATGTCCAGGGTGTCATGTGGCTGGTGGTGCTATCGTTCTGTGCTCTGGCTTTCCACATAGCTTCACCCTCAGCAGTTGCCTTTGTTGCTTTCTGGATCACTGAAGCAGGAGGACTGGCCTACAGTGGTTGCCACTACTCATATACAGGCCAGAATCTCAGAAGGGGCAAGGCCCTCCCCTGGAGGGGCAGCCTGCTATCAGTGAGGAGTAGAGAGGGGTAGGTCAGCTCTCTACACCAATTACAGTTTCCCTTGCTAAATGTAAACCTGACTTTCTTTTTTTCTTCCTTTCTTTTTTTTTGGCATCACTTATAAATTTATTGTTGATAATTTTTTTTCTTTTTTTTTCCTTAATTTTTACAAAAACTTTATTGAGAATTTCATACATGTATATAAGGTGTTTTGATCAAATCCATGTGCACTCCCTCCCCTCCAACATTCCCCCCTTCTGAAGAGGTAACCTCTGAAGAGGTAACCCTAAAATCTTTTAAGGATTAGATACAAGCTCCAAAATACTTTTGACATTTTTTGGCCTTGGAACAGAGTATGTTGCTAACAGGCCCAAGGACATTTTGACTTTTAGCCAAGAAACTGGCTACATTTCTTTGGGGTCTTTTTGCCCTAACTGTCTAGCCAATTCCTACCTCCTAGTCTTATCATGCCATCCTCTGAAAGGGTTACCCAAATTGCCAATAGATGCAGACCACTCTGGCTTCTAATCCATGCTGAACAGGGATGCAGGGCGAGGCAACTGGAGTACCCCTTCAGTGGGTCTATCTAAATTTAGACTCCCAAATTGCGTAACTTTTGTCTGTAAGGGTAGAAGAAAGTCCTTGAATCATGAATGGGAGATGTGAAGGAGAAGTAAAGGCAAGAGTAATTAGCATTACAAGTTCTAGACAGGGAACTAGAAAAAGTCAGAACAGGGCAATTTTCAAATGTTCATATGAGAGTCCATTGGAGTTTCTTGACAAGGGCTTCCAAAAGCATCCCTCTCTTGGGTTCTTCCTCATTTTTCTTTTGTCTTCTAAGGCTGCACTAGTTGGCTGGGAAGAGTAGCTGGAAAGAGTGGCTGGATACTCAGGTGAGGGTCAAATGACCCTGCTTGGCACTCCTTTAATGAATGAGCACAACCATCAATAAGCCCAATTGTGACTATGTTTAGCAATCAGGCTCTGCCGAAGTTGTGATGATGGTAGTTATTTCATGCAGAAGGGTCTGCTGTATATCATCATCTTATTAAAAGGACCTAGAATTTAAAAGGATTTGGTGCTAGGAGCCACACATGAAGGAGAACAGACATCGTTTATTTTTATAAGTCTGTGTTACTTCACTTAGTGTAACAGTTGTGAACCTGACTTTCATGGTATGGAGTACAGATTGTTTGTGGAATGCTAGCATCTAATGGCACTTGTCCTTGCCCTTCCACTAACCTGCCGGTTACTCTTGGCCTCAGTCATTTGTAAAATTGGCTCGTGACAACCTCCTCCAAATGGCCATTTTGATAACTGACCTAATAGCACTTGGCCCAGTGCCTGGAACCCCAGATACCCAGGAGACACAGGCTACACATCACCATGGCCACAGTCATGTTTCGGGTGAGATTGGTGGTCAGCTCTGTGACCGAGTATGGCTTTTCTATTCCAACTGACCTCCCAGGAGGTAGGTCCCTGGATCACCCCAACACCCTGTTGCAGCCGGCAGTAATCTCTGCTGGGTTCCCCACTCAGTTCCTCCAGGCCCTCTCTGATAGCAAGACATAGCATGACTTCCTTCTTACCTTCATGCTCATCTCTTTATTTCAGCTGAGGGTGGCAAGGAATTGATCAGCCCCTGTCTGTCTCCTGGGTTCAGAGGAGAATGGGAGCATGCTGAGGTCACCTACAGAATTTTAGGACAGAAAGCAGGTAGGTGGCATTGCTGTCCAGGTTCATGAGGGTGAGTAGGGTGAGGAGGTAGCCCACGTCCTCCTGTGCCTTTTCCAAATACTCTGAGAGGCAGACACCAACACAGACAAGCCCATACTTTGCCTTGAAGCACGGCTACCAAGCTCTGGCAAGGTTTGGTAGGCCTTTGTCAGAGAGCTGGGGCCTCCTCTGGCTACCTCCTTCTGCCAATCTCTGCACAAAGTCCCTTTGTCTGTCACCACCAAATACTGCTGTCCAGAAAGCCCAGTTTCCTGAAAAACCTGCAGTGAGAAAGGACCTGGACATGTGGGGCCTGAGACAAATGGCCACATCTGGGCTCCTGGCCCCAAAGCTCTGCTCTGCCCAGTTCTGTGCAGAGAGAAATGGAAGCTGCTTCATGCTACCAACTCAGGGCACACAGTCCCTGCCATTCTGTCGCAGGCCCTTACCCTAGTCTTCATTGCTGGGTCCTTTGGGTTTTACCTAGGAGAAAAACTGGAATATTGTTCCAGGTCGAACGCCCTACATGCAGCATATCCACTCTGGTGGTTCTGTGGTCAGTCTGGTTCAGCTGTCAATTTGCACATGGGCAGTCGTGTCTTGCCACCAGCTTGGGGCACTCAGGAGGACAACAACATGGCTCTAGTGGGAAGAGTCAGATGGTAAAATATGAGAAAGAACTTGGAAGGGAAAATGAGTAGGAATGAATGTGGAGGGAGTGATTGCAGTGTTAGCCAGGTAGCCAAGAAAGACCTGTGTAGATTTGAGCCAAGGTGTGAAGGGGTCTGAACAAGCTGCGCAGATCCTCAACACTATTCTTCTGGCCAGGGAAGCAGTATGTAAAAGGCCTGAGGCATTATTGAACAAGGAGGTGGTGTGGCTAGTCTGAGCAGGGATAGAGGGAGGAAATGAGGGCTGAGAGCCAATGGTATGACTCTGGCCCATGGGGAACATTGGGAAGGATGAGGAGACTAGTTGAAGCCAGGCCAAGGCATGGGGCATTAAGGTGCTCCTTGGATGGCCATAACAGTTGGATGAGTTCCAAAGTCCATTAACTTCTGGGTTTTCTACCTGGTAGCTATGTGAGTCTGACAGGTGGCCCAGGGCTGCTTCCTGGTCTGTGAAGTAGGGAAAGTGTAGGTCATGCAGGCTGTCGAGGGTGAGTGTGGAGTGAGCAGCGCCCATATCCTGGGTGTGGAGGGCCACACAGGACCACATGACATTCCACTCATTGCCTGGATATGGGGTCCCCCTCAGCAAGGGCTGCACTCCCCAGCCTCTTCGTGCCTGGAGGCTTCTTTCCCTGTTGACCTGGACAGCAGTGCTCTGGTTCCTGAGTTTGCTCTTGTCACACTCAGTAAACAACCCACAACTTAGGGTGGGGTCTGCAGGGGTTTCTAGTCCCACCTCACTCTGCCGTCCAGGTCAGGGTCTCAAGTCTCCGAGGAAGGCCTCCTGGGAGCCACGTGGCCCATGTGTCTTGGCTTGCTCATGCTAGCTATGTATTCTTCCTTGCCTCCCACAGTGGGCCTCCATGAGCTGTGTGCCAGCAGAGTGTCAGAAATTCTCCGAAATAAAGTGCACAGGACAGAAGAGGTGCAGCACGTGGACTTCTATGCTTTTTCCTACTACTATGATCTTGCAGCCAGCTTCGGCCTCATAGGTAAAGGCCAGGCCCATCCAGGCAGAGGGACTGTGCCAGCCAATGATGGTGTTGGCCTGGGTGAAGGAAGTGGGCTTAGGAGGCTGGGCGGTGAAGGGGCAGGAAGTGCTAAGCCCCCTTATCATAGGAAAGTTAGTCCCCTTGAGCCAGTTAATGAAATGGAAAGTACTTGCTGCTAGTATAGATCTTGTTAAATGGTAGGGCTTGGCCCACGCTAATTCACTGTATTTTACTGCCTGGCCCTGACCTGTGTCCCCAGCTCAGGAGTCACTGTGGGATGGGTAGCCACATGCTTTCCTTCTGAGGAAGAGGTTAGACCTTCAACAAATGACTCACTCTGGCCAGTCCTCCTCTACCCAAGGAGCCAGAGCAGGGCACAGGTAAGGTGAGGCACTGGAGTTTTTCTAAGGCTGGTAGTGGCCAGATTGAGAGGGATGCAAAATTACCTTTTAATGAAATAAATGGAGACTGTCAGGATGCATTGCCTGTAGTGAGAATGAGAATGCTAATTATGCTTTAACAACCTCTGAAGAAACCAGTGGTATCTGGGATGGGAGACTCCCACAACATATACCTAGCTCCAGGCCAGTTACAGAAGGAGCCAGGCAGGAGTGGGTGACTAAGGCAGAAGGTAGCCTGTCTCAAAACAGCTTAGCCTTCTGGCCCCAGAACTCAACTGCAGGAAGTAGGGGGACACTCATCTGTGTGACTGCACCAAAGCTGTGAACATTACAGCACAGAACCCCTTACACCTCTACTTGGCCAGGCAGCCTGCCAGGGGCCCCACTTTTGGGCCAATTCTGTGGGGCTCTTTGCTCTGGCTGTTCCTGAGTACCCTCAGCTACTTATGTGGTAACTCTGAGGAAGGAGAACTACCCCAGTCACTTGGCCATCACTTACCATAGGCTGTCCTTACCCACAGGCTGCCATCTTCACTAGGGTTTCCTTAGGAATTGTAGGGCTGTCCAAAAATGTGGTTCCTACTATCCGTTGTGGTCACACTCAGCTCTGAAAAACTGAGACTACCCCTGACAGTGACACTTGCTGACTTGGTGAGTCCCCAAAGCCAGGGGCAGCTGGTCCAGAGCCCAGGGGAACTCTGCTCACTCATTCCTCAGCACGGCAGGCTGCTTCTTTTGTTACACTCTTCTTTTTCCCAGTTGGGAAACTGACCTAGAATCCTGCTGATGAGCTCAGAGCCAGCTCAGGAGGCTTCTTCACTTCTGCACTTCCACTTTTCCTGATTTCATGAGCTTACTTAATTTGGGGGGACCTAGAGATCCTGGTGAGGTGCCTCACGGGATATAGCAAGATAAGGTGATCCTCTTTGGCCACCTGTCCTGTGTGGCCACCTGTCCTGTGTGGCCACCTGTCCTGTGTGATCCTTCAGAGACACCTGCCCACCCTAAATTGTTCCACCTCTGACACTATAGTCAGGACTGGAGGGTGGCTCTGGTAGAATGCTTGTCCAGCATGTGTGAAGCCCTGGATTTGATCTCTGGAACTGCAAAAAAACAAAGTCAGACCACAGAGGATCAAAGAGTACGGGTAACTCTCTGGGGCCAGGAGAAGCCCACATCTGCATTCTGTGTGTGCTGCAGATCTCCTGGTCTGGGGTCTCCAGGTGCCAGCCTTGGGCATCAGTGGCATCACATACTTCCGCCATGCTCCTGCTGACTGGCTTGTCTGTCTTTTCTCACAGATGCAGAGAAGGGAGGCAGCCTCATGGTTGGAGACTTTGAGATAGCAGCCAAGTATGGTGAGTGGTGCTGTTCTTGCCTGGGTGACAGGCCAAAGGGATGTAGTGGCAGAAATCCCAGTGATTGTGGCAGGCTCAGGGCCCAGAATTACTAGGTTTGGTTCCTTATTCTGCCCACTAGATGATGTTAAGAGGTGTGTACGGGCAGGATGCAGAGTGTACTGGGGTCACCAGGGGCCCAAACCCCATATGTAACATCCCAATAGGTGTTCCACCTATGAAAAGTCATAGTCCCGTTGCCTGCCATGGGGCTCTGAGGAACCAGTTCCCTGGCCCCAATTTTCTTGACACCTTTTCCCTGCTACTCAAGTTACCCCAAGGGAGGTCTCTGCAGGGATGATCACAACAACTTCATAATGATCAAATTGTCCTTAAGAAGTTTGGGTGGGAGGTGCTGGAGAGATGGCTAAGTGATTAAGAACACTAGAGGCTCTTGCAGAGGACCTGGATTCAATTCCTAGCACCCACATGGTGGCTGACACCCTTTTCTGACCTCTTAAGGGCACGGCACAACACGGGTGCACTTACACACATGGAGACAATGCACTTGCACACATAAAATAAAAATAATAAAATACTTTTTTTAAAAAGAAGGTGGGCAGAGGGGCTGCTTGAGCAGAGTCTGAACCGTAGGGTTGTAGCTGGCATCCTGAGCAGCTTGCCAAGTTGCTCCTCCCCTCCTCCTGTGCCCTTTATGCGGTCTTTGTGTGTCACACCCACCCTGGCACCCAGGAACGAACATGTTGTCCGTAGCCTGCTCTTTTGGTTGCTGCTCTCAATTTGAAGTTCAAAACAGTTAAGCTTTCTATATTTCTCTGTAGGAAATTCTCCTTTCTCCCTCTTCCCACCCCTCCCCTGACATTTGTATGCTTTCCTATCCCTTCCCGGTTTTTCCCTGGCCATTGGGCATCTAGACTGATTGCCCCATCTGCCAAGAATAGATTCTGGGGCCGGGGAAGATGGTTCAAGAGTGCTTGCTGCACAAGCATGAGGACCTGAGTTCAAATACCCAGAATCTACATAAAGAGCTGGATGTGATCTCCTGCCTATAACTCCAGCCCTGGAGGATCACTGGGGCTTGCTGGCTACCATCCCTAGGGTTCAAGTGAGAAACCCTGTCTCAAGGAAATAAGGCAGAGAGTGATACAGCGGGACATCTGATATTTTCCTCTGTCCTACATGCCAATGCACAGGGGCATTCACACACACATTTTCATGTCTTGGAAAGCCTGAATTCTAGGTATGTTGACACCTGGAAAGTATCAAAGGTCTCAGATGCAGAGACGTGACCTGGGAGGGGGTGCTTTCCATTGTTACCCTAAGACAAGGCATGCAAGCCCTCTTTGTTCTGGCGTCCAGGCCCAGTGGAGGTAGGGATTTGCTTCATTGCCTGCCTGTGGGGTGGCCTAGCTGCAGTTTGATGTTAAATCAAGAATAAGGAGTAAGGTGTATCTAACAGAGGGTGTGGCCAGGGTCACTTCCCCCTCCTAGAGAGACCATCTAGAACCTGACTGGGAATGGGCATCTCCCCCCCGCAAGTGTGCCGCACCCTGGAGACACGGCCGCCTAGCAGCCCCTTTGCTTGCATGGACCTCACCTACATCAGCCTGCTGCTCCATGAGTTTGGTTTTCCCAAGGACAAAGTACTGAAGGTAAGCATTGCCTCTTGGATGCCACATTCCACTTGTGGGGTGGGGTGCTGGGAACTGCTGACCTTACTATTGGGATTTCATCTCCTGCTCTCATCCTTGGCTTCTAAGAAACAGCTCAGAGCTATTTCTAGCCTCTTGAGCCAGCTGCTTCCTCCACAGACACCACCCAGCCTTTACAGTTCGGGTGATGATCTTCTCTTCCCCTTCCCTTTATCTTTTAAAGCTGACTCGGAAAATTGACAATGTCGAGACCAGCTGGGCTCTGGGAGCCATTTTTCATTATATCGACTCCCTGAAGAGACAGAAGATTCCTGCCTTGTAGTAACTAAGCCCCAGTCCACACCCTAGCCAGCATCCCCAGGGTCCCCAGGCTTCCAACTCTGTGGACCCCTCTGGCCTGGACATGACTCCATCCTTGAGCCTGCAGCTGGCTGAGACCCTCCTCTGTACCTTCAGTGGCACTCCTATCGACTTGCTTGGGACCTGGCCCCTGCACTAGCCCTGCTGCACCATGCTCACTGGGGCAGGGCCAGGGCCAGGGCCAGGGCAGGCAATGCTGCCTAGCCTGAGGCCATTTCCTTGCCTTGCCTCTAAGTGGACAGGGAGCAGGCAGGATCCAGGGCACATGCTGATGAAGGGACACAACCCTGTCTCAATTCCCTCCATCTGCAGGGTTGTGGCTTTTACATATGTGACATGAGTCTTGTTTTGTCCCCTAGCTCCTGTTGTTCCCTGTGCCTTCCTCAGAGTTGTGGAAGGTTGCACAGGCCACCCTAGCTACAGTACAGCCTCCGGGATAGTACCTCCTGAGCTTGTCCTTCTTTTCCTCAGGTGGACTTTTAAGGTCACCCAGAGGTCTGCTTTCCCATCCTTGAGTGGTATGGGGTAAACTGATGGGGTGACACTGAGTAGGAAGAAAGTGGGAAGACTCTTCACAGACCCAGTGTTCAACTTTGCAGAGCCAATGGGTATAAACAGAGCTATGAGAATGTTCAGGGCTGTGTGCCTAAGCACTGCCCTTTGAGTTGAGTGCTTTTGTTGAAACCATGTGTGAGCTCCTTTTCTGGACATAACTATGTCCCAGTGAATGTATTACTGCTATGAGCCTCTTGCATAGGAGTGGGGCAGGTCAGAACTGGAGCCACACTCCTGTGTCTCATGATGGCCCTCCCTGCAATGGTCACCCACCCTCCCAGGTGTGGTCTGATTCCCCTGTGGTTCCCTCAGTGAATGTACAGTCCACAGAATAAGCTGAGCCACCTATGCTCTGCTCTGAATAAATGTTTACAAGGGTTTCTCTCCTTTGAGTCCTTTCAGTGAGTCACTAGCATCTGTCTACCCAGCAACTGAGATCCCTGTTTACTAGCATTTAAAACCTGCTCAAGTTGGGCAACCAGTGGTGGCAGCCACTCAGCAGCAGCAGCAGGCCACCTAGAGGCCTGAGCTGGCTCAGGGTCTGGCCAGGGGCCTCCCTGTCCCAGCTATTTGTTGAAGGCAGAGTGCCTCCCATTCCTGGATATGGAACAGTTCTGGGCACATCACCTCCAAGTTACTCTGCGCTCCGCAATGATCTGACTTGGTTCTGGCATAGTCACATGCCAGAGAAAGGACAGTGGACCTACCCATGTCACAAGTGCTCACAACCTCCAAGCATATAATGAGTTCACAAGGTCTGGCCCTGAGACCCCCTGCCTTGGGCTGTGAATATTGAAAATGCTACATGAATGGGCTGGTGCAGAGGAGGAAAGAGTTTTTCAGGCAAAAAGGGATGAGGAAGGCCAGGCGTGGTGGCACATGCTGAATTACAGCAGTTGGGAGGCTCTGGAGGCAGGCAGATCTCTTATCAGTCTGGTCTACTAGGGAGTTCCAGGCCACCCAGTGCTGCATAGTGAGACCCTGTCTAAAAAACAAACACAAGGCTGGAGTAAGGGTTCTGGGGAGCCTAGTCCCTTAAGTGACCCCAAGAGGGTCTTCCCTGGGATGATTACAGCAACTTCCCATAGTCATATGTCCCTGAAGAAACTGGGTCCCTGTGCAGTGGAGCCTGAACTGTAAGATTGTAGCCAGCATTACAAATAGCTTCTCACTACTCAAGTGGGACCACCACAGGATACAGGGGTAGGAGGGAACCTAAGTAAAACCTGACATTCCTCAGGGAATGGGAGGGTGGTCAGTGGGACTCCAACTCTAAGGCAGGAGTGACACCCCAGGACCTGAGCTAAATGAACCAACAGTTCTCTGCCAGATGGTCTCCCCAAAATTAGACCTTAGGGGAAAAGTCAAGGCCAGTGTATAACTTGGACCAGAGAAGATAAAGCAGGACCAGAGCCAGGAGGAGGGCCTGGAAAACCTGTTCTCTCCCACACTGTACCTCCCACTCCTTGGCAGGGTCCCCACTGCCTCTTCTAAATCTAATAGCTTAAATATTTAAAGCCCTCTGGAAGCAAAGTATCAAAGTTATGGGAAGGTAAAGTGAAAATGGATTCATTGCAGTTAAAGGTTAGTGATCTCATTTATGAAAAAAAACAGCTGGACAGTTTCCCAAAAGGATACCAAATAAGTCATGGAATATTTTTAGGCCTAGCAAAACATGCAAGTCACTTCACTCAGTATCTTTTGTGATAATAAAGCTGACTTGTTTTTTTAAAAATAGCTACATCACACTGTGGCCTATTGTAAAAGCAGACTGGTTTGCTCTCCCAAAGATGTGTGCTCCTGTGTACCTCGATGGTTCTGCCTGATAGACCCTCACACCTCCCACCATGAGCCCTGTGCTGTTCTGTCCCACTTGAAATGACAGGCACCTCAGCTGCATGTCATGGCACCTTAGTGCCTCAGTCCATGGTGCTTCCACACTGAGGTGATAGGACCTTAGGTTGTCAGTTCTAATTACCTGTCCATGCATGTGAGCCATCTATCCTGACACTGTCCAGTCAAGGACATGAGCATTTTAGATTATAGTAGACATTGCCAGTTTCTTCATCCCACCGGTAAATGCTGGCTTCCCTCAACAGCATGGTCCAAAGGTTTGATGTTTGCCATCTGATTAAAAACTGGTGACTAAAGCTGAGTGTGGTGGTGCATGCCTTTAATCCCAGCACTTGGGAGGCAGAAGCAGACAGATCTTTGTGAGTTCAAGGCCAGCTGGGGCCACAGGAGGACCCTGTCTCAAAACAAAGGGGTTGGAGAGATGGCTTAGTTAAGAGCACTGACTGCTCATGCAGAGAAGCATGCTGGTCATAATGGAAGGGTCAGTAAATCTCCCAGGATATGAACTTTGAGAGCACTACACTTGGGTGTGAGAATTCCAAGAGTCTCATTAGTCTCTTCAGGACTAATTTGGCAATCATAAAGTATAAGGAATGCTTGAAACAGGACCCAGGTTTGATCCCCAGCACCCACCTGGCAGCTAAAAACTATTAACTCCAGTTCCACAGGAATTCAGTGCTGTCTTCTGACCTCCAAGGGCATTGCATGACATGAGTGCACTTACATGCAGACAATACACTCATAAAAATTTTTAAAAAACCAACTGGTGCCAGGCATGGTGGCACATGCCTTTAATCTCAGCACTTGGGAGGCAGAAGCAGGAGGATCTCTGTGAGTGCAAGGCCAGCCTGGTCTACATAGTGAGTTCCAGGACAGCTAGGGCTACTGGGAGACCCTGTCTCAAAAAGAGAAAGGAAAAAAAAAACCAACTGGTGACTGATGATTCCTCTGATTTACCTTATGTGTCTAAGAACCAGTTGTGTTTCCTGTGAAACGTGTTCATATCCCAGTTTTTCAGTAAGACTGGTCGTTTTCTACTGATTTGGGGATTATCTTTATTAAGGAGATCAGCTCATTGTGATAGGTTGTTTTCAATTTTTTTTCTCCACTCCTTTTTGACTTTGTTCACGGTAAGTTTTTTTTTAATGTGTATGAGTGTATTGCCTGCGTGTATGTAAGTGCACCTGTGTTGCACACTGCCCATGGAGGTCAGAAGAGGGTGTGTCATCCCCTGGAACTGGAATAATGGATGGTCGTTAGCCACCATGTGGGTGCTGAGAACCAAACCTGGGTTCTCTGCAAGAGCAGCCAGTGCTCTTAACCTCTGAGTCATCTCTCCAGTCCCTATGGTGGCTTTTTAAACATCTATTTAATGTGCATGAGTGGTTTTCCTGCATGTATATAAGTGTACCAGGTTGCATGCAGTGCCCACAGAGGCCAGAGAGGACATGGAATCCCCTGGAACAGGAGTTATAGATAGTTGGCTTCCATGTGGGTACAGGTCCCCTGGAAGAGCAGTAAGTGCTCATAACCACTGAGCCACCTCTCCAGCCCTTTATGGTGTCTTTTTAATGAATAGTGTTACTATTTTACTTAAACTGATCAAGTTTGTTTTTTGTTTTTGGCGGGGGGTTGTTGTTTTGTTTTGTTTTGTCTTTTTGAAGCAGGGTCTCCCTGTAGCTCCAGCTGTCCTGGAACTCACTATGTAGACCAGGCTGGCCTTGAACTCACAGAGATCTGCCTGCCTCTGCCTCCCAAGTGCTGGGACTACAGGCGTGCGCCACCACGCCAGCTTCAAGTTTGTATTTTAATACAAATTTGTCTTATTTTGTGACTTCCATGTTTTGTGTGGTAATTACAAAGGCTTCCTCAAGGAGACAGTTCGAAAGTTCTAGGACTGGAGGTGGCCCAGTGGTAAAGTGCTTGCCTAGCATGCACAAGAGTTCAGTCCCCAACACTGCAAAGAAAATTAGCCAAATGGATTTTTTAAAATATTATTGCCGGGCGTGGTGGTGCTTGCCTGTAGTCCCAGCACTTGGGAGGCAGAGGCAGGCAGATCTCTGTGAGTTCAAGGCCAGCCTCGTCTACATAGTGAGTCCCAGGAAAGCTGGGGCTACAGGAGACCCTGTCTCAAATTATATATATTATTATTATTATTATTATTATTATTTTATGTGTATGCATGTATTGCCTGCATGTATGTAAGTGTACTGTGTGCATGCAGTACCTACAGAGGCCAGAAGAGGGTGTCAGATCCCCTGGAGCTACAGTTACAGATGGTTGTCAGCTGCCATGTGGGTACCGGGAATGAAACCCAGGTCCTCTGGAAAAACAGCAAGTGTTCTTAACTACTGAGCCATCTCTCCAGTCCCCCAAATGGATTTTTTTTTAAACTTTTACATCAATTAAGAGCTCCAGAGGGCTAGAGAGGTGGCTCAGAAGTTAAGAGGATGCATTAGTCTTTCAGAGGATCCAGCTCACGGCAGCTTGTTACTTCAGCTCCAAGGTATCTGGTGCCCTTTTCTGGCCACTGTGGGCACCTGTAGTCATGTGTACATACCGCCACCAGAGCGCACACACATACACACCCCTACACATATATATGCATTATTAAAAATCATTTTTTTTAAGTTCAAGCTTTTGAATACCTTCAAATGCAAGAAATTGTTTGGAGGGGAATCTCATTTTTAGAACCATTTCAGAGTCTTTGGAAGACAAGGATGAGTTCAGACTGTAGCAACACCATTTTGGGATGAAGTCAAGGATGGCTATTATGAGATGATTCCCAAAAGGCACATTCAGAAGCATGCCAAATCATAGAAGGGTCAGTAACAGTCTCCCAAGATACGAACTTTGAGAGTGCTACACTTGGGTGTAAGAATTCCAAGAGTCTCATTCGTGGGACTATTTTGGCAATCATAAAGTGTAAGGAATGCTTGAAACAGTTGGGGCTGATAGTCTCAGAAGCTCTTGGGTGGGTGGGAAGTGACAGGTGTCTTCAACATGACTTGGAGGCTTTGAGCCCCTCTAGAGCCCAGGCTCAGACATGTGGGTGGAGGGAGCAAAAGATGTTCTTCCTCATGGGAACTAATACCTTCTCCTGTCAGCACACAAGTACGCTTGAGAAGGAATCCTGTCGAGAAGGAGAGTTAGAATTGGGAATTTCCAGTGTCTCCATACTCAAGATTATTAGATTGGCCTTGAAAGTCATGGAAAAGTGTTCTACTCCCTGTTCAGCTGCCATAACAGAATATCACAACCTGGGTGATTTTTACTAGACAGAAATTTATTCAACTCATGGTTCTGGAGGCTAGAAGTCTAAGAGCATGGTGCAGGTATCTGGTGAGAGTCTCCGTGTCGTGTCCTAAAGTGAAAAGCAGAAGAAAAAGAGGATGATATGATAGAGCAAGGGGATCCAACGTGCATCTGTTTGTGTGTGTTTGTGATGTGGGTGTGAGTTCATCTGTGCGTGCACATGTGCAGGTGAGATGTTGACTTCGAGTATCTTCTGCCACTCGATTTGTTT